CCAGGCGATCAAGTTTGCTGGCCAACGCTCGTCCGGAAAAAAGTACCCGCGAGAAGGCTGCGGATCCACACTCCAGAATCCAAGAAGGCTTGGGGAACACGCAGCCCCACCCACCATCTCAGCCATCACTTGCCATGATCCTGGTCACAACCTCCTGCATCGTAAGACCGCACATCGAAAACTAGACTAAACCTCCGCCGGGGCTCGCCGACATCCCCTGCTGCGTCGCCGATCGCGTCCTGAGGATGGCAGGGAACATGTTCGTCTGGTTTTCGCTTGCATGCTCCACATGTCCAGGACTCACCTTCAATCAAGTAATCCGGTTTGGGCCCAACATGCAGCGCAAATGCAAAAGTGGCACCCAAAATGCACCCCAATGCCAAAGCTATCCCCCAACAGCCCCAACAGCTACTAAGTTACTTGGACTTCGACCCTTCTGCTTCCCACCGGCCACATGGCGATCTGGGGCAACGGGCTCCAGCATCGCCGGCGATGTCTCCTATCGTGTCCTTGGAGATCAAGCCCCCAAAATGACCATGGGTAACTTTTCCCTGTGGTGAAAGTCATGCTCTTGGCGGTTTCCCTATCTGGTCACCCCATGTAAAGGAGCCTTTCAATAACTCCCAAATGTTCAAGATGAGGGTGACACCTTCTAGCTGCTGCTCCCGAAATTTTCAGGGAGAAGCCCTTCACGGGAGCCTCAAACATGTATTATCCGGCGAAGTATAATTCTCCCAGGCCTCGGAACCAACAATTCCAAAAGGAGGGCTGGTCCGCGCCAATCGCCAAGACAAAACCACAAGAGGACAGGATGCCCTGCCGCATGAAATGCGATGCCGAAACCTGGTCACAGGTGATCCAACTTGGGACTGGCGAGGTGGGAGCCGTTGCTTTTGGAAGGCCCGGAAGGAGAGCCATGGGACGTTAACGCGGTGTTGCCACAGGTCAGGCTCACTAGTCTGGAAGTGTGTGCAAAGGCAACCGACTCATCCATCTTCGTTCCAGTTGTGACCCCGAACAGGCAACCCTCTCACACGCGGGTAAAAAAAACAAAAACACGTTTCTCTGAGCCCAGCAAAAGAAGAAAAGCGGGGCCCCGCCTTGCGTAGCCTCGTCACCCAGCCCCCCAAACGTCCGGCGCTTCGCCGAGGCCCGCGCTCCCAGGTCTTCCAGGCCGTCGCCCTCCGCCAGCAAGGCCCCGGCCACGCAGGCGGCGCCGATCAGGGCCACCCCTCGCCGGGTGGCATTCGGGGCGCGCCCGGGGCGCGCGCAGGTCCGCGCCCGGCATTCGGGGCCGCCCGACGAACTGGGTCTTGGTTGGGGAAGCTGGAGCGCGTCCGGGTCCCAGGGTTTTTCTGCCACATGAGCAATGGACATTTTTTGAACCACGACTACTCACTCTAAGGGTGAAAGAAACGAGTCATGGGCAAGCAGTCAAGCATTGCAAAGATCCTTGGTGACATAAGTCATCCAGCCCAACTGGTGCAGGATTGAAATACACGGATAATTATTGAATCAAGAATCCAATTGAAATCAGGTGTGAATTGAAGGAACACGTGCTCAACATGGCCAGAACATCCATGCAAGCCAGTTGCAATGTTGCTTTTTCGGGGAAGCCTCTGAGAAGAGTGGAGCCCTAAATCTTAGTCCGACTGTGGATGGAAAAAAGTCAACCTGCACCGGCAGGGCTTCATCCCGCATGCACAGTGCCTCCCACGGCGGCAGCACCGACGGCCACCTTCTTGCCAGTGCTCCAGCCCCTGAGTGCGGCTTGCTTTCCCAGTCTCGGCTTTGGCTCCATGCGGGCAATGGTCCCATGTCACCTTTACGTCACTCCAAAAAGCGACCCATGATGATAACTAGCACATCTGGAATCCTGGAGAAAAAACAAGTGAAGGAAACGTCGAAGAAAGCCTAAGTTGTTCTTCAGGAATTGGGCTTGTGAGGCACATGTCAAGCTCCGAACGATGTTGAGGCCGCGTGAAATCCAGGACGATTCCCACTCGCATTCTGTCGCATTCTCTGTGCAACTTGAGTGGCACTGGATGTTTCTTATGGGAGGTCACGGGCCTTTTTCGCCAAATGAAAGCGAACTAGTACTGCGACAGGTCATGCCAGAATATAATAATGTCCACAATATGTGATCGCCCAAGGGAAAGCGGTGTAAAAAAGCTTAAAACGATTCCCTTGGCTCAAAATCGATCAAAATCGGCAAGTCGGCAGCCGTGGACTCCGAATGGTGCCGAATCACCGACCGAAGTCTCACACCCCAAAGGTGAGCTGGTTGGTGTAGTCATGGATCGCAACTTGGAGCACGGCGGCGTCGTTGGAGACACCGCTGCGGCGTCGCCCCCAACCCATCTTCTGGTTCTGGACGGAGATCGGCCTGAACTCGGGGGCCCCACCTGTCGTGTGGGTCGCCTTGAGCTTCACGGAGATGGGAGCCCAACTCGAGCTCACGGTCGTCTCGTCGAACTTCAGCGCGCCTGTGGTGGAGGAGAAGTCGCATCTGATGCGGTCGCTCGAAACTCGACAATACCTGTCAGTCTGCTTGGACTTCAAGTAGAACTCCGCCGGACCGCCCGTGGCCTCAACCGCGTACTGTGCCCTGATGGATGCCGGGGACTGGTAGTTGCACGTGATTTCCTTGTCGTCGTTGACCTGGCACTTGAGTCCCACATGGGCTACTTCCCTCAGATGTGTTTTCTGCTGAGGGTTGCACAGCTCTGCCTTGAACCAGAACATCATAGAACAAATCATAGAACCATATAGAAGCCCTGCAAAGCAAAAAAGCCCAACCTGGCACCAGGTGTTGTCCGGAGCCCTCAAACTGACCACGGCGCCAGGCTGCAGGAAGTCGTTCCCGTTCCGGGCAAGGAGCTTCGGAGAGGCTCTGGCGCTCACAAGGTCAAAGTAGTTGACGTAGCACTTCACAACTTGATTTCAGTCAGGGCCGCACACCTTGCCGCCACTGCCGCCCCTGTTCCCATAGCCGACCAGGTCACCAACATGGCGGCCAAACTTCTCCCAGCTGCCCAGAGCGTCACGATTGCACATGACGCGCGCAGGTTCGCTCTGCCTCCGCCTGGACACAGACGAGTCCGAGCAGTACTTCTTCGCGCGGCCTCCCTTGAAGGCCATCCTGTGGGGGATTCGCGCTGGTCCATTCCCCTGAAGGTCTGCCAAGACTCCACCCAGTCGGTGTCGCACTCCATGTAGTCAAAGTTCCCTCGACGACGACGGTTCCCGCCTCGGTCGGTGCAGAACTTGCCCCCGCCGTAGATGGCGAACACGTCACCCACGGCGAGTTCTGCTTCCACACTGACGCCTTCTGAGGTGTCATTGCTGCGAAGTTGCAGGACGGACGTTGCGTCAGAGCTGCAGTTTGAGCTTGCAGCGCCAAGCCACACGCTCAGGAAAAGAGCCGACACAGCCAGCATGGCGGATCAACGGGCCAAGGAGTTCCGCAGACTTTCAGCGCGCTTGAGCCAAGGCGCCCATCCGAGGTGAACGCAATGCCCGGCCGGCCTGACATTGCTACTGGAGTTGGAAATGGGAAGCAATGGGAAGCAATGGACAGTGACCCAAAACTTGCAGTGAAACTGGTATACCGGCATACCACTACAAGAGCCATGTCACAACTGAAACGTTAGCCACTGGCCGATGCTACGAGACAGGAAATTTGTTAGATGCCCTGCTCATGCAAGACAGTCAAAAGTGCATAAGCGATGCAGGTGGCAAAAATCAGGGGTTATTTCTTGGACCCGCGCCAACAGAAGCAATAGAAATCCCAGCAAGATCTAAGGTCCAGCTGTTGCGGCCGTTTTTTCCCCCAGAGGCATCGGCTTCTTGGCTTCTGGAGCGTCACCACCGGCTCCCGGGTCGGCTGGGTCCGCAGGTGCAGGGCTGGGGTCTGGAGCGGGGTCCCCGCCTGGCAGGGGATCCCTCAACCGTGAACCTAGATCCAATCTGCAAAGTCAACAGCCCAACAGCCCAGTGCCCAGCAAAAGCAACAGCCCAACAAAACAACCAACAGCCCAACACCCTGCAGCTCAACAGCTTATGAGCCTAGCAGCCCAACCAGCCGGGGGGGTTGTTGATTGAAAATCTATGGCACATCGTTCTTGAACCTTGAACGCCCGGCTGTCGCAAACTCCCTGCCGCACCCCTCCGGCCTCCAGTGGGCTTCTTGCCTGGAGGGCACGGGCAAGTGCATTCTCAATAGGACCCCTCGCAAGCCGACAAATCTGCGTCTTGCCAAGTACTTAGCACATGTTTCGCGACCAAAGAGTAGATGCCCTTGACTAGTGCACGTATTGCAAATTGCACACGACAATACAATGCATGACTGAATTGATGCCCCTTGCGCAGTGTATGCACACGGTTGGGAAACAGTACACTGTAGACCGCATGCGTCGTCCCGGCCACGTCAGAATCTAAGCTGGCATGGCAGTAATGGCAGGGCAGGGTTTTGCCGGACTGACGAATGAACCATGGCATCAACCACTCGCAGTAAGCACATATCGACTCCCAGGTTTGCGCTCAAGGTCTCACTGGCAGGTTTCCACAACACGTGTACGCGGGTCCACATCTGAGCAGTTCGCAGAGTGTGCATCGCTACAAAGCCTTGCGCAGAGCTGCCTTCCCCGGGATTTATCTTTGCACCCCAAAAGGACGCCCACGGAAAGGGGAACCCCTCTTGGGAAAGCGGATGGCATGGGCTCGAGGCATAGGAGAAAATGAGACGGCCGGCCTCCTTCAAGAAAAGTTGCGAACTCCTCGTAGGAGATCTGGCCAAGATAATTACACCAGAAGCATACAATAGGGTTACACTTGGCTGTGGGTCCCTGGTAGACGGAAACAAGGACTAAAACCTGCGATCCCCTGGTGGTGTCATTGTGACCCATACCCACTTAAGACTTGGCCTCCGGTCGAGCATCCATGGTTGAGCATCCAAGGTGGAGCCCACCGCAACATGACAAAGACGAGAGCTGCTCTTTGTCGTCCATTTCGGCGGCAAATCCGTCACTGCAATTTTGCAGTGAGTGCATCCTGGAGCTGAAACCATCAGCGCACTATGCCGCACAGCTATACCGGTGGCACACATGGCACACCACCTGTGCCACCAAGCGAGACTTGAAGTACAAGCCGCTGAGTTGGCGGACGAAAATTCATGCTCGGTGTCATTGCCGTCAATGAACCCCAATCCCCGTGCAAACATGGCCGACTGCCCCAGTCGTGCGCCAAATTCGCGTGCCGACATGGGCATTAGAAGTCAGCATCCAGGGAGAAACGCTGCTCCTGCTCCCCCCCACCCATGACACCTGCTTTCTGATATTCCCCTACCCTCTTCTCGAAGAAGTTGGTCTTCCCCTGCAAAGAGATGAGCTCCATCCAGTCGAAGGGGTTGCTCGCGTTGAAGAGCTTGGAGTGCCCCAGCGCGCACAGCAGCCGATCGGCCACGAACTCGATGTAGGTGGCCATGAGATCGGCGTTCATGCCGATCAAGTCGCAAGGCAACGCCTCGCAGATGAACTTCCGCTCCGTGTCCACGGCCCCCCGGATGATGTCGTGCACCACCTCCTCCGGCAGCTTGTTCTGCAGCATGTTGTACAAGAGGCAGGCGAAGTCCGCGTGCAGCCCCTCGTCGCGGGAGATGAGCTCGTTGGAGAAGCACAGCCCGGGCATCAGGCCCCGCTTCTTCAGCCAGTAGATGGCGCAGAAGGAGCCGCTGAAGAGAACCCCCTCCACGGCGGCGAAGGCCACGATGCGCTCGGCGAAGCTGCACTCCGTGCTCATCCACTGCACCGCCCACTTGGCCTTCTCCTGCACCGCCGGCATGGTGGCGATGGCATTGAAGACCTTGTCCTTCTCCACCGGATCCTGCGGGCGCTCAGAACCGGCTCTCGCCTTTTTGGGCTCAGAGAGCCGAAAGCTTAAAAAAAAACTGAACCAATGATAAGTGAAGCGAATCTTGATGAACGGAACAATGCTAAGGTTTGAAACTGACACTGAAACAGCCTCGGGTTTGCCAACATGGACTTGAACCCTCATTCTTTCTTTCTTTGTTTTTCTTGGGCGGGGGGACATCTGGGGGGGGGGGACATCTGGTCATCCCTGCTAAACAGCGGACACGGCGGATCCTTGATGTACTGCTCGATGAGAAGCGAGTAGGTCTCCGAGTGGATGTTCTCCATGGCCATCTGGAACCCGTAGAAGGCCCGGGCCTTGGTGCCAGAGTGGGGCCTTGAAAACATGTTCGCTCAGTTAAAAAAGGCCAAAAAAAAAACGGAAAATGCTAACAATGCTAATAATAATAATAATAATAAGAATAATAATAATGAGGATCATAGTGACATTTTGATAATAAAATGGGGAGAAGAAAGAAGAAAAAAATGGGGGGGGAAGCCCCACGCAATTCGCTTCTTGCCCATGCGGATCCACATTGCCCCGCCTCCGGAATCTGCACCTCGGAGGCGAAGTTCGTGCTGAGATTCTCCAGCACGATGCCGTCGCTCGCGGCGAAGAAGGCGAGCACGTGGGACACGAAGTGGCGCTCCTTCGGTGTTCCAGGTCTCGTTTTTCGATCCAGGTTAGGTGTCCATCTGATTTCAGAAATTGTCTAACCAGGTTAGGTGTTCCTCTGACTTCATCCTATCTAAAGCTGTTTAATTTTGTCATCTGATTTTTATCTTGCTGCTGTATTGCTGCACTTAGATCTTCCATCTCCGAAAAGCTGCACCGATTCACCCCGTCCTTCTCAGTGAGGGCCTCCCAGTCCTTGGTGTCGCTGGCCAGATCGATTTCTTCTGCGGTCCAGAAGGAGGCCTCGTGCTTCTTGTACATCTCAAAGACCGCGCTGTACTGGATCGGCAGCAGCACCCAGCGCCTGGGGTTGCTCTTCAGCAGCGGGTCCTCCTGTCGAAATCAGAACCTGGGGGTTGCACCTACAAAGGGGGTGTTAGCTGGGGCTTCCCTTGCACCTATGTGGCCATGGGTCAAAAGCCAAATCGTGCCCCCAGTGAACATCCCAATCCAACCACTAAATAGACCAAAATGGGTGGTGCACCTGCCAAAATGGTACCATTGGTGTTGAACCACAGCCATGTAAAAAAGGGATGCTAGCAGCAACAAACTGGGTCCAGTCCTTTTCCAGCCGCTTCATCTCCGCGCTGACCGCGCTCACGGGGGCCGGGACCGCTGCAAGGGCCTCCATGTTCGGGAACTTTGCAAGCGAGGCGGGTGAATGCTGAATATCTGAAGCCAAAACGGCTGCAAGCGGATAGAACACCTTCTGCAACGTCCCAACACATGGCCATGGGTCAAAATCCTGTACCCCCAGTGAACATCGCCAATCCCGACCAACATAGACTAAAATGAGTGGTGCACCTACCCCAAAATGGGATCCCATTGGTTTTGAACCATGGCCGCATCTCCACGCCACGTCTGCTTTAACCTCTCAAGTGGCACGCACCCGCCTTGTAGTCTTGATTTTTGTCCACTTGCAAGATGAGGTCGTTGATTTCCTTAAGGATAAATCGGCCCTTGGTGCCAGCCTAGTTCCTTTACCATGATGCTTGCTGGCACTCAATTCGTCATGTACTGCAAAGAGCCGGAAGGCTGACCTGCTAAAGATTCCAAGTTGAGGTTGGAGACAGAAGATGCAGACACGCGGAAGCAGGCCTGTGAGTTCCATGCATGAGACCTGATACTGATCTGGGTCTGCCAAAATGTTCAGCACTCTCGGCTGTGCTGCAAAAACAACCGGCCTGCCTTCATCCCTTGTCCGCAGTCCACGCGCTGCCATTTGCATGCCAAGGCTCTGATCGGCCCAGGTCGGGGTTCAGTTGAGCCTGAGCACAGGGCCTTACAACCTCGAAAAGGCAGTCAACTTAAAGGTTCCAAGCGCCAGCATAAGGCAGATTTTGCGACTTGAGTCTGGGGCAGAAAGTGTCCAATGTCACCCCAGACTCAGGGCAGAATGCCCCCCAGAAAGAACCATGTCGCCGGAGCAAACCCTCATTTCACATCGGACACATGTCAGGGTCAACTTTCCAAACAGCCCGAGTCAGATTTTGCGACTTGCAAAAGGGCGACGCTGAAAAGCTCGAGAACTCCATCGCTCGCACGCCAAGGCTCGATAAGCTCCGCCAGCTCTCCGAAGCTGATGAAGCCTCACGCGGATGTCCGAGGTCGGAGCCGAATGAACATAACATGTCAAGTCATAACTCAGATCTGGGTGTGGCTCATGGAGGGTGGCTCAACATGCAAAAAGCTATTGTTACCCAGGTTACCAGGTTTTAGTCCTTGCCTCCATTTACCAAGCTGCCATTTTGGTACAAGTTACAAATTTGTTTTTGAGCCACAGCCCTCTGATGGAGAATCGGAACCACGTCGAAATCGGAAATCCCGCGCCTTTGTCGTCTTTGTCCCACTTCCTGAACTGCTCCTGCCGCTGACTCGGCACAGAAAAAACAGGTAAAGGAGGCCGCCGCTTCGACATGGCCTTCTTGTTCGGAGAGGCTCTGCATGGGACCGATGGCTTCTGGGCAGGTCCCTTTCATGAGACTCTCATCAGAACCAGCGCGGGTGGGAATGCGACATGGGCATTGACCAAGTCATTTAGCCATGGGTCAAAATCCAAATCGTACCCCCAATGAACATCCCAATCCCACTAAAACAGGCTCTAAAATGAGTGGTGCACCTACCCCAAAATGGCACATCCGCCCACCCCCATCACAGCACGCGGTCCCGAACTGGATCCAGTCGCCCTGGGCAGGGCATGGAGACTGTGAAAATGCCAATTAACTAACCAAATAAATACATAAATGATAGATTTAAAAAAAAAAAAAAAACAGCAAGCAAACAAACAAACAAACCAAGGGACCTGAAGCTGACGCCCCAGCGACTGCAACTTCATCGACTTCGCCCCCCTCGCCTTCCCAGGACGGCACCGGCACCAGCATGGCTTGGCCAGCCTTGGCCCCCGCCGGCACTTTCACCTCGAAGAACTTTCCTGAGGGCTCGCTGCGCCCGGAAAAACATGGCTCGTTGCTTGCAGCTGGGATGCTGTCATGGCAACCCAAGAGCCTTTGGGTCCAAGCTAGGGTTCCACAGCAAACTGATCTCTGCGTCTCCCAGATTTGACTCTTGCGCACTGTCAAAAGCTCTGCTTTTGCACGCATGCACTCCAAAACTGAGTGCCGAATGAGTTTGCAAGCTCAGACTCTTCTGGAAGGAGCATCTATGCCCAGGACTGCTGAGGTGGCAAAAAGTGATTCAGTATTCAGCAACCTGCCGTGACCCCCGACTGCTGTCAAGCGTCCCTTGGCCTTTGGATGGGGGACCTGAATGACGCTGCCGGCCGCGCCCTCTGGCACCTGCTCAGCAAAGTCAAAAGTGTGTTTTGTGGGACACATCCGATGTCTCGCCTTGATGCAAATGGTGGGCCCAGGCTCCATTGGCTTGTCGTTGGCATCACGGACAGGCCCGCCTCATAGCGCAATTGTTCAGTGGGGGAGGACCCCGTGTGGAATGTAAGCGCGCCGACCCGAACATCCCTGGCCAAAAGAAAACAACTCCCAATCCAACATCCCGGCATTCCGATTGCCTGACCGACCCTCCAGAGAAAAGCCGCAGCCCAGAAAGTCCCAAAGCAACGGAGTCACACCCAGCAAATCTGACCCGGGCCGCATCTCTCCCGAAACTCCCAATGACTTGCAGTCACGTGGCTTGGAGCCTGCATTCCTCGGGCTCACTGGCCGAGCTTCGGTCCGAAGTGACCAAATGGCACAAAGCTTTGAACACTTCCCCAAGAGCTGGTGACTTCTTTGCTTTCAGCTCAGCAGCGGTATGGTGGCCGAATTTCTCGGGTGCCTCCACTCACCAGGTTCTCCTTCCACAGGCACAGACCACTAGACAAATGTGTCTTTGAACCTTGGGGCGTCATCTGATGTTAAACTGTGTGTCATTTTTGGGGGGTGCCCCTGTTGGGGTGTTTTCAAAGGGAAACCAAAAGGAAGCCAATAATTTTGGGGTCCACATATTTTGAGACACCCAAAAGTCATGTTGTACAAAATGTTCGAAGTGATGAATCCGCGCTCCACTTTGCCTCCATGACTCTTGCCTGCTGAAATTGCTTCAACATGAGACACACCATATGTAAGCTGTTCCTATAGCTGACGGTTTAGAATGTCCGTCAAAACACGAGAACAAATTTTGGTCCGGGAGCTTCCGCGTTGAATCCTACTGCCCATGCCGGTCCTGCGACATCTTCTTGAAGTTTACCTGCAACGTGCGGCGCGGCACTTGTCAAAAAGCGCACAATGGCACAAAGGCGCGCAAGCCCCCCTGTCCACCCTGGCCTCGTATTTCTCCTGCGCCACGCGAGGGCTGCGGTAGGCGAGACACGGAAGGGTCGGTGTGGCGTTGGTTAGCAATACGTTTTGCAGTGCGCACTCTCAACACGTAGCGTGTTGCACCCTGTTTGCATCAAACCCTGGAGAAGAAAGCCAACGTGACATGTACAAACCTTTGGCTCGGTTGATCTTTGAACCGCTGGTTTTCAATGATTTAACCTTGTGACCGACTCTGTCAGACTGATTATTGTCTTTTGTGGTGTCAGTATGCGTCTTTCGATTCGGCACGATTTCCGCAACATTTATGTGTGTCTGTTCTCTTTCTTTTGTTTACACGTTAAGCCCCCCTCCTCTGAAAAACACAAACTTCTCCCACCTGAGGGCAGGGGGTGCTGAAAATCGCTACCAAAAAAAAAGAACAACCTAAACAAAACGTGTATATAGCGTATAATTCAAAGCAAAACGTATGTGTTTTTTTGTTTTTTGTCTTATTTAGCGTAATGTTTACGTTGTGGTTTTTTTCTATTTAGAATTTACCATGTCTTTTACGGCTTCCAGGGACTCACCAACTACCTCTTGCGAGAACACCGGAAGATGGTATAACAGAAGCAACAAGGTGTAAAACCCTCGGGGTGCAACAAAAGCAAAAATGCTAACTCAGACCCAAATCGTATCTAAATCGGGGAAAACAAAACAACTGGGCTTCCCTTGACTTAGCCTACTCCATAGGTGAAGCATACAAGTGTGATACAAGACCACCGCATGAGGCCTCCGTTCCCCAGCCTTCTTGCCGTTGATGTGCCTCAATCGGCTGGTGGATCAATGGGCAGCGTGTCAAACAGTGGGATCCTCTAATACTCGACTCCCATGACTCCTGGAGGCCTTGAAACAGACATGGCCATGGCTCAAAATCCAAATCGGTCAGCCCCCAGTGAACAACCAATCCAACCACTCAAATAGGAAGCCTAAAATGGGTGGTGAATGCACCTACCAACCAAAATGGGATACCATTGGTTTTGACAACCGCAGCCATTTGATGTTCAAATGTCGCTTGTGCAAGCAAGCGGCATCTTGAAGCGCGCCGTCTGCTGCCCAGACATGTATGCTGTCTTGAGTTGCTTGTCCTCTTTCTTCCTCGGCACAGAAAACCAACTGTTCGGGCGAACCCCTGCGAATGTGAGTCCATCACAAAAAGTACGGAACAGCGCTACACGTTCGCAAGAGATTCTGTCCTTGTGGGAAATGACCACTTCTGTGATACAACAGCAAGGGCTTCTGAAAGACTAACCCCATCAGGGGGAGATTCCCACAAGTATCAAGTATCACCGAAAAACTAAACCCCGAGTCCCACCACCGAGGCGCCCATAGTCGCGCCAGTGGCCTCCCAGCTGCACCTGGAACGTAGACATGACGCCTGAGCTGGCTCGAATGTGTGTGGCGGTCAAACATCGGGTAACCCCAATGGTCCTCATTACCGCTCAGTCGACTTACGCGGTGAGAACAAAAAAGCCAGCACAAAGCCAAACATCGGGTAACCCCAGCAAAAATGGGTTGCACGCTCTAATATCTGCTCCAATTCCTGGTTTCACTTTGACCCACCAGGTTGATTCTTCCCGAGTCAACTGTGTCAACTCTCAACCCATACCAGGCCTCTACCCCGAACGACCAACACTCCAAGAAACTTGAACCAGCGCGCGGGTCACGAAGTGTGAAGAAACCAGTTGTGCAAGTCAACCTCTCCAAAGAGCAGCAAATGAAATGCGCTGCAGTGGGCCTTTCTTCCTTTTGCACTCTTGTCCACTGACGCCACCTTTACACAACTGTCTGCGTGGCCGAAATGAGATCACGTTCCTGCCATCGGATTGCCTCCAAACGCAACATGGGCATTCTTGGCTTCCCATCTCCTG